CCGTGACCATGGAAGATGTGCCTTGTCTTTGACATGAAAATCATCAGGAACAAAGTGAAGAAGACACCTTGCAAGTTTCTGTTGCTCAGTGGGAATCAAAAATTTTTTTGGCAGGTTGAATTGAGGTTAGCTACTGGATGTCATAGGTATAAAGCACTTTTGAAAAGTGACAGAAATCTTAAAAAAAATAATAGAAGAGAAGAAAAAGAAATACCAGAGGTCAACCAGGACATTGTCATGGATGTTGTGATAGGGGCTTTATTAGAGAACATAAAGCATGGAGTTTTATTTTTAATCAAAGTTTCTACTGCTGTAAATCCTTTTTGTTCATAGATTCAGCCAGGTCAAAACTCAGGCTGAGGTTCTTTTTACTTTTTTCGGCTCTTCTGAGGTTCTGAAAAAAGTCAAAGAAATGTTTGGCTCAGAGATTTGACAAATTCATGAAAAGACTTGTATGAATTTTTAAAGCATTTCTGACTGCTTCTGTTGCCTTCACTGGTGTTGGTGAATTACCATTATTTGGAAGAAACTCTTGTTTCCCAGTGTAGGAGTAGGAAAACATTTGCCCTGTTTTAGCTATTCTGAAGAAATTTTAAAATAACATACATTATACCTTATCAATTTTTGTAAGTTTTCCTGTTAGTATATGTTACATTACTTTGAATGCTCAGAGAAACAGAAGACAGTGTACCACTGGACACTTATTTTGACTAGCCATCATATTGACAGATACGGCTGTAAGATAAATTCTAGCTGGAATAAGCAGGCAAAGAGAGGCAACAAAGGGCCAGGTAATTTATTTAAATACCCCTGGGTGAGGTTCTGTGGCCTTCTTGTCACAGGCCAGAGAAGTCACGCCCGGTTAGGGAGGTGGGGGGCTTATAAGGGATTAGGAGGGGGAGGAGTGGGCAAACTATCTTAGGGGTGTGGAGAGGTATGATTGGCTAAAGGTGACATAATAGTCAACTAGAAACTTTTTTCTTTCCAAGAGGGAGGAGGCTGACATCCGGGTCTTAGTTGGCACATCAGGATGGAATTCAGGGAGAGCTGCCCCCTTTCCATATATGGCACAGACTTCGGGGTCTGGTCTGTTCTCCCCCTATGGCATCTCTCTGTTCTGTTTGCATGTTCTTGTTTTTCCTTCTCCAACCTAACAACGGCTTTCTATAGTAAAATATGGTTACACCATACTATAAAACATCAGCAAACTGAATGAATAAGCACATGATAAGCAGCTTGGTTTTTCAACCAAAAAATCTGTTATTTTTTTTGATAATTATGTAGTTTCATGAATAGGCTCTTTTGATATTTTAACATTTAAAAAGAACTATCTCCAAATATCGAGTTTTCAACCATTAGCCTAGAAGAAATAGAAAATTTGTCAGTTATCCCTCAAAAAGTAACAGGAAAAGCAGCTCATGGGGGAGTATTTGCTAATCTCTGGAAAATAGATACTTCCAATGTCATTTAAACTATTATAGACCACAGTAAAAAAAGGATGATTCAAATTACATTTATGAAATCAATATTAATAACATTCAAACCTAAGAAAAACTGTATCTGAAACAAGAATCCTAAAAAAGTGTTAACAAAAGGATCTAGTAATACACTTAAAAAAATGTATGTATACCCATGTACACATACTTCTATTATGATCAAGAGGGGCTTATTCCAGGAATACAGGAACAATTCAGCACTGGATCTTTTAATATCCTTTATCATATTAGTAGACGTAAAGCAAAAATAGATGAGCCGTGACCATGGGAGATGTGCCTTTTCTTTGACATGAAAATCATCAGGAACAAAGTGAAGAAGACACCTTGCAAGTTTCTGTTGCTCAGTGGGAATCAAATGTATTTGACAAAACACAATGCCAATTCTTCATAAAGACTCTTAATAAAAATAAGATAAGTAGTTACTTCCTTAACATGATAAAATATATCTGTCTCAAACAATAACCTAGAATCTTGCTCAACAGGGAAACTCTAAAAGCATGCCTAGCTAACACCAGAAATTTTCAAGGACTCCACTGTTGCTACTTTACTTCCCATTGTCCTAGAAGTACCAATCAACACAATTAGGTATGAGACAGAAATACAAGATTTACAAATTGGAAGGAATAGGTAAATGATCACTTATTTTGCAGATGACATGATACGTATACTTGGAAAATTTAAGATAATTCCCTAATAAAAAATTTTTTAAATATAAAAATTCAGTAAGTGACAGGGTACAAAATTAATATTAAAAAATAGCATTCATGTATTCATATATTCATATAAACAACTAGTTAGATTCACTGCATTTAAAACAAGTATAAAAGATAAAATATCTAGGAATAAATAAGAAATGTGCAAGGTCTTTCAGAAGAAAACTAGAAAAATGCCCCTTAGACATAAAAATGACTTGAAAAAAAGGAATGGTATAGCATATTCTTGAATAGGAAGATGTATACAAATACCAGTTCTTCATAAATCAACAAATAAACAAGTTCATTTTAATATCCTGATGAAAAATGAACGGTCAATGACTGTAAACAACTGACATAGAAGAAAAAAGAAGGGAGATATCCATTCCACTATGGTACTGGTACATAACTAGATAAAAATTTAAAAGTTCAGGATTTTAGTAAATGATGAAAATGGCATATCAAATCAGTAGGAAAAAGAAGAATTACTGAATTTATGGTGTTGGGCCCACTGAATAAATAACTATCTAGGAAAAATAATTTAATTCAGAGCTCACGCTAATACTAGTGTAAATTTCAAATGGATAAGTGATTTAATGTAAACATGAAACCATAAAAGTAAGAGAAGAAACAATGGTAGAATTAATTTATAAACACAAAGTAGGCATTTCTAATCACAACACAAAACTCAGTTAAAAGTCATAAATTCTTGACCATATGAAAAGCAAAATGTAGACCATGTACACAGTAAACACCATTAGGGAAAAGTTATTCACAGTTCATCACAGGTAAGCTGCCTTTTCTTCTAATAATAAGGAATTTCTAATTACTGATGAAGAAAAGGCCATAAGTCAGTAAGCAAATGGGTAAAGGAAAAGAATGGACTGTTCACAGAAAAGGAGATACAAATGGCTCTTAAACATATGAAAGGTTGTTCACTCACTCAGAATAAATTCTTACAAAAAATATTTTTTCATAGTCTACTATGTTTCAGTAATACTGGCCTTCTGGCTACAGGAGACACAGTAGTGAACCAAATAAATAAAGACCTCTGCTCTCACGGAGCTTATATTTAGGTGGAAGTGCAAATTTAAGCTGCACTGAAAAGCCATTGGCAGCTATCAGATTGGCCAAAGTCCAGAGGTTTGACATCACACTCCATGGCAAGAGGCAATAGGCCCTCTCATACTCTTCTAAGGTAAATTGAGAGACTTAAATAGGTACAACTTTTATGATAGGTAATTTGACAATAACTATCAAAGTTACAAATATATAAGCCCTTTGAGCCAGCAACTCTATTTCTAGGAATTTATCCTAAAGACTTACTATATAGAAGAGAATTGACATATGTACAATGTTTCTTGTTAGTGTATTTGCAATATCAAAAGATCAGACACAATCTAAATAGGAGGCTGTTTAAAGACATGATATACATCCATACTATGGAATACCAGGAAACTGTAAACAGGAATGAGGAAGCTCTCACTGATGGAAAGATCTCTAAGCTATATTATCAATTTATATATATGTATAGAGTGCTACCAACTGTGTAAAGGACAAAATAACATATACATATATAATGTATAAATTTACATATAATCTATCCATCTATTATCTATTGATCTATTTATCTCTCATCATCTATTTATCTACCCATCTCTCTATCAATACACAAAAAACAACCTTGGTTGTGGCAGAGGAAGAGAAGAAGGAAAAGAACTATGAGATACAGTGGGCAGTGGTCATCTGGGATATGGGATAAGAGGGAGACATTTTGCTGAATATTCCTTCATAGTTTAAAATTTTTTAACCATTAGAATGTATACCTTATTCAGAAAATTAAATTGAAAAAATATATTTTTCTTACCAATTTTTTTCTAATTAAAAGAATAAAATTCTTTGAATTTTCATAACATTTAGAAAATTAAATCGAAAAAATAAATTTTTCTTGCTAAAATTTTATCTAATTAAAAGAAAAAAATTCTGAGGGAAGGTTTGACAGTATTTCTATTTTGGTAACCTCTGCCAGTGTTTAAACATCTTCATGGACAGGAAGTGTTATATTCCTGATTATGCTTGAATCCTCCTTTTTGATTTCTGTTCTTAAGTAGCAACTACCCAAACTTCTCTTTAAATTTCTCATTTCCATCCATGTTCAGGGCCTTGTATAAAAAGCAGGGACATTTGTGAAGCTAACACTACCTAGATAATGTGGAACTCAAGTTTCAGTACAAAAACTAGAAAAGCAGGACCCCAGATCCCAGTGGAATGAAAAAAGATACCATAGGCCATGGACATGAAGTTTTCATCTCCTACCTTGAAGTCAGTTGAAGATAACAGAAGAATTTGATAAAGTCACATAGTACTAGAATGGGACCAGTGAGGTTGCATCTAATTTGTACCTTTACTTCTTGGTAAAATTTGTCCCTGAAATCAAAGATATCATTAATATTCTCCTTAGGGACATATTTCAATCAAATATGAGAGAAGAAAATCTTTGTGGTCAGTTTCCAAACAAAAATTCTTTTCTTGCTACTTGACATTAAAATTTTTTCTCTATGTTGCTTCTTCTTAATTGTGCTTCAGGTCTTGTGCCCAGGAAGTGAAGGAAGAGAAGGAATGAAAGGAAGGAAACAGAGTTGAGAGAAAGGGGTGAAAGGTGTTAGAGTTGTAGGCAGGATGTGTAGTGACTGGTGAAAATCTTTTTTTCTAGACTGAGGGCATGGGTCTCTTACTACATTAGAAAACGTTGTTTGTTTGCCTTGCTATTGACTAAATGTAGAGTAGAACCGCTCTCCTTCTTAAATAACAGAGACCACGCACAGGCTGCCCTTGACTCAGGTTAAGGAAAGGCTTCCTCCAATACCAGAACTGGAAGTTGCTTCCACGGTGCACCAGCAAGATCAATATACATGGTAAGTGATGACTCAGTTTTATTGATGATATGACTTTATTATTATAAACACGAATATATATCCAAGGAGGTGTAGTTTGCCTCAAACTGCATATCTATCTGGATGCATGCAGGAGAAAGAAAGTGATGAACTTGCAAAGCAGTTCATATGCATTAGACAACATGAAATAAAATCACTATTTCCTCCAAGGTCTAGGAAGAACCAGTAAACTAATCTCTTAGTCTGTTAAGCAATGTGTGCCCCTGAGATGTCATCTCATCCCCTGCCATTTGTTTTCTGGGGTTGAGTCATAATTCCAGCAAGCCAATTGTTATTTAATTGGAGCATGAGAAAAGAGAGAATGGATATTTATGAAGCAAAACTGCCCACAGACCTCAATTACCAAAATTAAATACTTCTTGAAATGCAACATCTGATGATCTGATTAATGTGCATTGATTTCCATGTATTTGGATCAAAAACTGTTAGAACTATCTTTGAAATTCTTTTCATTAATTCAACAAATATTTATTAAGTAGCTATTATGTCAAAGCCACTCTAGGGGTATAAAATTATAACAGGGAAGAAGAGGGACACTGGCATTTCTTAGTATCCTCGTACTGTGCTTAGTGGTGATAGGCTAGATCATTTTCTCTTCATAATACTTGGGCAGTTGTTGGTCAAGATCCTAGCAGGAAACCAGTGGTTATACATGAATTGAATAATTTTGAGGAGAATTTGATAAAGGGTTTATTCGGCTAGGATGTGCCCAAATGGGACACTACTACTGTCCCTAAGAAAAAAGAGGCAAGGAACCCAGAGAGACACACACAGAGGCAGACCCCCCTGCCCCAGACACCCCATGGACTCTGTGGGGATGGCGGCCTGACAGGAGCTGTGATTTTTGGTCAAGGGACACAACAGTCTGTGGTCCCTGAAGAGAGAATAAATATTCCAACTTGGTTGTCCTCCCTCTCCCCAGTGGGCTGACACTTCCCAGTGGCCAAACCCAGCCAGAGCCAAAGGACACTGGAGTCAGACTGTCCTTCCTTGTACAGTGGCCTCCCTGGGTACCAGGTCGGGTGGAGAGCAGATCTGGAGAGGCAACCAACAGGATCCAGCATAGGTGGCTCAGTATATCAAACTGGCAACTAAGTGCCAGGGAGACTAATGTAGTCAGGTAATTGTTCTAATGACATATTACTGGATATTGTGCTTCATGCGTCTCATTCTGGTCCTCGTTCTGGGATGCTCAACCTTGCATAAGAAGATATCCCCTTTGTTCATTCATCAAATTCTTTTTGAGCACCTACTGTGTGCCAGAATTCTGCTACTCACTGGCAAAAACAACATGCAGTCAGTGGAGGAACTGGATTATGGAACCCCTAATTCCAGTAGAGTGTCAGGTAATAAGATAGAGGTATTCACAGGGGGAGGGGAAGCATAATGGGGAGACCCCTTATTTAGAGGGCATGTTGACAAGCATTTAATAGATGTTCAATAAGTATCTGTTGAGTGAATGATTAAGTCCCAAGTTCTATGTCTCTGCACTAGAATCATGGAATGTTATAACCAAGTGAAACTTGCACTAACACTTATGTTTTCATTTTATAGAAGTGGGAAATAACCCAAACATATGGTAGTGGCAGAGGCTAGAGGATAGTCTAGATTTTCTGGGTCTCAGGCTGAGAAGGTTATTACCATTAACCACAATGTCTTTTTAGGGATATAACAGAAGTTCCACTGCATAACACAGGATCAGAAAGAACTCTTAATGATGTTAGGAAGGTCTGGGTATTCTTATAAGACATAGTTTTAATAAATGGTTTTTAAATTGTTTTCCACTAATTCTTTTCACGTAATAACCAAAACTTTTGTGTGAATAATATTTGCCTTTTTTTTTTTTAATCTTCAGAATATCTTTCTGAATTTTTCTGGAAAATTTGGACTGAGCCCTTTTGAAGAAGAACACCCATAATTTTATTTTGGGAATGAGTTAACTGGTAAATACGTGGATCCAGCTGAGGATGCATAACAGGAAACAGTAGGAAAGCTGTCCGGTTGATGAAAACTAGCTCACGAGCACTTATTTTACCCATGAGACAAGGTTTTTCAGGAAGCCATTATGAGTCATGGAAAACAAGCTGATGTAACTCATGAAAAGCAGCGAGAGAATGCTTACTCTTCCTGTTTACCCGTCCTACAGCTTACAATGGTCCCAAGATTTTGATTTGGAGGAACCAAAAATAGGGTCAAGGACGGAAATCCTTCCTCTCATTGTCCCACACTGCATATTCTTATTTGATGGGTTTTCCCATACAGATGGTTTGTTTCTATTCGGCAAATTACTTAAGAGGGCTGGGATCCTTTGTTCATACATTTGTTTGGATTTACAGATCTTGCCTTCTTTTGGCACTAAGGATGTTGAAAAAATTCTAAGATACCAAAATAAAATGAATTTAGGTGAGATATTAAGTGAAAATTGAATGTTTAAATTGAATAGCGAAATGTTTCCTCTGATTCTTTTGGCTTTTTCATTTTTTAATAGCTGTCATTGTTGCCAAGAGTAATTGTAGTTGTTACAATCAAAGCACATACAGACAGGAGGGCAGAACTTCATGCTGAAAAACAGGAGGGCAGAACTTCATGCTGAAAAATAGAAAAATACCTTCCCAGAGTTAAGGTGGAATTTAATCTCCTGGTATCATTATATGGTTAAAATTGCTTATCTGAGTAGCTTTCCAGAGTTCAACTGCAGGGTCAGATTTAATATTCAACACCTGCCAGAAATGAATGTTTTTGCACATAGAGGTTTTTCTGGTACTCCATTTTTCTTGCTAGATAAAAAACAGATTCTAATCGTAAAATTTAGGGATTAAAGATTTGGCAAATGGAATTCTATTAGTCTCAGTTTTTCTTGTCTGTGTATCCCTGGTTAATAGGTGAATCAGGCTCAGGTCTGGGATCATTCAGCAGGAGTTTAGGGGTGTCACACTATTTGAGGTACGGATATTATACATTCTATAAGAAGTCAAATTATTGTTTACTTGGGCACCACCTATTATGTTGAAGCACATGACTTGGAAATCAATGGGAACTTGGCCCACAAAAGGCATAAATTAAGCTTCAAGTTCTGTTAAATTGTGGTAGCTTTCTGGAAACTAATTTCACTTATTTGTTAGAATCATAAACTTTAACAGATCCTTTGATTAGCATTCAGAGATGTGGGTGGCCTGCTGTTTGCCCACAAAGAGCTGACAATGTGGTGGAGGAGGCAGGATATGCATACCACTAATTGTGCAACTAGACACAATAGGGTAAGTTTCATTTACAGGTGCCATGCTTCCTGCTGAGAAGTCACAGACCAATAGGGCCATTTCCAGTTGGGGGTGATCAGAGTAGGCTTCTCAAGAAGGTGGCTTTTTAGCGGCATCAAAGATGGCTTTTCCTGATGTCTCAAAATAGGTCAAATCTCCCAAGTATGTGCTTTCTCAGCCCTCATAGCCCTTCCATGTCTGTTATTTACAATTATTTTCGCGGTTATTAATTAATGTTTGTCTTCCTCTGTAGATTAGTTCTGCTCACCATAGGATCCCAGGCAGCTAGTATGATGCTCAGCTCACAGCAGGTTCTTAATAAATATTTGTTGGATGAAGAGCTGTTAACTGATCTCCCTTAAACCTCAGGCACATGCCAGGTATACTTTCATTTCTTTCTCACAGTGTCTCCTGGAGATAGGTGTCACTACTCCCAAGGAAGCTGAGGCCAGAAAAGCTCACCAATTTACCTACAGCCTCAGGACTAATATGTGGATTCAACCCTGGGTCTGTCAGGCTGCAAAGCTGGTGCTGCTCTCTGTACCTGCTCTGCTGGGTAGAGATGGGGCAAAGGGAGCAGGTCACTTGGAGGGGGTACCTGAGAAAAGGGGCTCCAGATATAAGCACTAGCAGTGCTCTCTCCCAGGAGTGCAAGGGGTCACTGTGCTCTTGAAGAAGATATCTGGCTGGAACTGCTTCTTGGTTGCTGGCCCTTTATGTCTCCTTTTCCCTGGCAACTCAGCTCTCTTCCCCATCTAAGTAGCTCCAAAAAAGAATGAATCTGTGGTCCTCGGTGCCTGGTGTGGTTCATGGCTTCCAATCTCACCAATGACCCTGGCTTTTAGCACACTCCGCTTTTCAACTGGTTCTAAATCTGACTTTGGCAGATCCTGAGCCCCCTCCTTAGGACTTGTCACTTAATCCTGTGTCTGTGGCTCTCACGGCAGGTGCCCTTCCTCAACTGCGACCCATACTCACCTCCTTGACCTCTGTGTCCCACTTAGTAGCCAGGATCCTCGCCCTCCATGCAAATCAATTCAGGTATAGATTTAAGAGGGTGGAGAGACAATACGGCACCATGTTGGAAGGCTGCCAGAATGACTCAGTCATTGAGCAGACACTGGAATTAGAGCAGAAGGCGGCATAGATAGGGGAGAAGATATGAAGGGAGAATTGGTGGCATATGGAGAATGATCTGATGCAGGGGTAGGGCAGGGAAAGGGAGAGAGAAGAGATACAGATGACAACCCTCCAGACTTCTGTATGGGGGAAACTATATTGCCCAAATTTATAGCTGCTAGTTTGGGTTTCCAGAAGAATTTTCATTTTTCAGAGGATTCTCTTCAAACTCTACTTTTATCCTAAACTTAAGTTCTACTCTCTCCCTTTCTCTATGCAGTCCTCCTGATGCAGCAGTCACTCTTTAAGACCACCTTGCTCTTCCCTGCCTTGGTTCTGTTGCATTTGCCCTGTCCTTCCATCTGTAGGATCCTCCCTACTCTTCAAAGGCAGATAGGCTACCTTGTCCACGGAGCTTCCCCTGCTCACCCGAATTGGAGGACTCTCTCTTTTCTGTGTTCCCCTAGGATTTAGTCCTCTTACCACAGTACTTCTCATATCCTGCCTCACACCACAACTACTTGTAGTATGTCTGTTTCCCCACCAGACTGTGAGTGAGAGTGGGAACCATACCTCCAGTTTCTGAGTCCCAAATGACAGGTACTCGCTTCTTGGTTAATGGAGTTTGACCGATGTTGGTTGCAAATTCAACATAGTGGTTACCTCTGAGGGGTGGGGAAGGAGATGAGACTGAAGATCTACATACCATTAACTTCTTCCACAATGGCAATGTTCTTTTGTAAACTTGGTGATGGGTATGTGAGAGTTCATTGTGTCATGATTCTATGTAGCTTACTATACTTTGAAATAACACTTTGTACCTACTTGATATTTAATAAACCAAATTTTACAAAAGACAAATATTGTATGAACTACATCTTCCTTTCTTCCTCTGTCAGTAGATAGCTTCTGTCTGTCTATCTCTCAACTACATTTCTTTCCCTTTATGTAAAACATGGTAGAATAAAGACCTGAACTCAATTTTCTGACAGTTTATTCTTATAATTTGACTTTGCTTATTTCTTTGTCTCTTTTTTAAAATTTTATTCTCTTTTTGGTCTACATCTTTCTTAACCATCTCCAATGATTTAAGCTATTCTAATGGGTGGCGATCTTACAATAATAAGTAGAAGGAAGTTCTTACATTAAAAAACATGTAAAGTATGTTATCAACTAACCTAGATGCATTTTAAAATCCTCTATAAACTTTAGAGATCATGTACTTTAGTAAAGACAGAGTAGTCTAGACTTCTGTGATTTGAAGACAAGATGAAGTGTGCATGCATGGGAGGGGGAAACAGAACATTTTGGCAAAAAATAATACTTCATAAAATCCTTTGGGTGAGTAATTGCCACACTCCCTGAGAGTTAAGGCTGTCACTGGAAGGAAATATGGAGAAAACAGAATCACTTCCTGTAAGAATACGGTTTTGTGGGTTAGCAGTTAAGACACTTTCATCCGAGAATAATAACAGGTCCATGTTGAAAAGACTTAAGTGATGAGAATACTTACTGTCTTGCATAATAGAAATTTGGAAGAGGATGCTTCTTGGTGAATTCCAGACCTCACATCCCCAAGCACACAGGTCCTTCCCTCCTTTTCTCTCTGCCATCTTCAGTGTGTTGATTTTGTCTTCAGGCTTCCCCTCTCATGGTCTCAAGAAGAGATTGCATTAAATGGTGCCACAGCACCAGCAATTGTGACATCCTTATACCACAATGTCCTTTTTAAGATTAAAGAAATTCTTATAAAAACCACTCCCAACCTGAAGATTTCTCCTCATGTCAGAGAATCCAGAATTGGGTCACAGACCCATCCTTAAACTGACCAATGATGGGGGATGGGGCCACCATGACTAGCATAGAAGGATAAAGATTTGCCTGGTGCCTAAGGAAGGGTGAGGAATTGACCATCAGAATGAAAAAACAGGGCTCTGTAAGCATGGAAGACAAGTGACTGGTGGGCGCCTTTGTCAATGTTTCTCCTCAGTTTCAAGGAGAGGTGCAGAGAGAGACTAAAACCAAAACATAGTCTTGTTTCCTCCCCTAGAACAATCTCTTGAGGCATGGTAAGTGTTTTCATTGCCCAACATTTTCTGATGGGTGTCCACAAAGTTGTCATGGGGCCATTATCTCCCTCCAAAGATACGTCTATTTTCACATAGAAAAGTGGTATCAGTGTGTGATATTACAGAGGCAGGCACACATTATCATGAAGAGCTGCATAATAGACATTATCTTTCTCTCATAAGGTCAGGCCAATTTCTTCCTGCAGAATTACCTCTCACACATTGAATGATGTCTTGGCGAATTGTTAATTAAAGTTTCCTATCAGCCAAGGAGTGACATGTGACCCAAGTTAATTCCCAATCTCAAAACTTTGATTTTAAGTGCAGTGACATGAGGGTGGAAAAAATGATTTCAGAAGCAGAGTTGAGTTTTTCTTGCTTTTAGACCTGCCAATTTACCCCCTACTGCCACACTGCTCTGTTTCTGAGCTTGGCTCTCCAGCCTTCCCTTTGATTCTGTGAGCTATCCATAATATCTTTGCAAAAAGATCCTTTTCCTCTTAAGTTTACAGAATTGGTTTCTGCTGACTGCTGGATATAACATCTAACATCTATTTTATTTCATAAAGTCATAGGATGTCTGAGTTGTAAGAAATCTTATAGATCAACCAGTCAACTCTCTCATTTTATAGCTGAGGAAACTGAAGCCCCCAGAAGCTGAGGGGTTTCACCCAAGGTCACATCACAGAGCTGTCAGTGACCAAACTGGGAAAAAGACAAGGTCTCCTTTATCCAAGATAGTGCAGTCCGCTTTTTAAAAAGAGTCCTTTTTAGTATAAGTCACAGCCCTGCCCAAATTTCTCTCTCACTGCAATGTTTAATAAAGAATAGTGACTTAAAAATCATTCTTTTCTCCCAAACCAACAATTTGCTTTGTGTAGTTTAAAAACTTATTTTAGAGATAGTCCTTTCAAAGAATGTGGCATCTGGTAAAGATAGGCATCAGTTTATATCCTTATATGGAGCCTTGATCCTTTCCAGCTCTTTAAATGTTTATTTTCCCCTTACATGAAATTCCTCTTTGGAAAGGAAGTAGTTTGCTCTAGGGAAACATATGGGCTAGGGTTCTGAAGATGATTATTTACCATTTCTAAGTCTTATTTCTAGCTGTGCGCATTTGGGGAGAACCTTCCAAGACGCTAAAAGATATATATATCTGCTCTGGTTTCTGGTTGCTTTAGGGCAGTCATAGTTCATACAACCACTGCTAAAATAGCTTAATGTTGGGGAGTTGGGATAGAGATGAATAATAATGGTGCTAATTATGTGCCATGCACTTAACATGTATTAGTTAAGTCATTTTATTTCACCCTAGAAGGTACATAGTATTATCATCTCCCCATCTTAAAAGTGAAAAAATTAAGGCAAACAGAGGTTTAGTTACCTGCTCA